CAAGAAGACGGGTCAAGTTCAAGACCCCGTGATCAGATCTGTCGTTGAGTTGGTGGAAACTCAAAAAGAAGCTCTTTTAGCTTCTCAGCCTCTCTCTGATGACGGCGATTCTACGGGAGCTTCAACCAACATGTTGCGGTTGCAAATCAATGATATGGTTGAAAAGGTAATTTTAATTAATATATTTATTTTATAATGTTGTTAACTTATTAACTTTAAATATTTTTGTAGGCGGTTCCTAAAAGGAAAGGAGGTCGTTTAGTTGGGTTGGCTCGTCGTTCTTCTTCGGTTCCGGGGTCTTCTTCGCAAGCTTCGTGTACCGATCCCATGATTCTGGAGCAACTACAGAACAAAGATGAACGGATTATGGCATTGGAGGAGCAGAACACCACTATCATTGCCGAGCTGGAATCCCAAAAGAAGACCAACGCTCAGATAATGGAAAAGCTAGAACGCTTGTTTCCTACTGAGTTTTAAAACTTTGTGTTTTTTAAACTTTGTCAATGTTTTTTTTTATTTACGTTTGTATGAATTTATATTTTATAATATTATTAGTTTTAAATTTCAGATTTTGTTTATTTAAATTAATTTTAAATTTTAAAAAAATATTTAAAATTAAAAAAAAATACAAAAAATGTATATTCCGACGACATCGGTCGTCACAATATACCGACGAACGCAAGTCGTCGGAATATACTGACGAGGCCGGTTCATCGATATATTGTGACGACGTTTGTTCGTCGGAATATTGTGACGAACCTTGTCGTCGGAATATTGTGGCGAATTGTGTTCGTCGGTATATTGTGAGGACCGATGTCGTCACTATATTTTGACGAACTGAGTTCGTCGGAAATAATGATTCCGATGAATCCTGCCCTCGGAAGTTGTTATCGGAGTTTCGTCAAAAGTTCGTCGGAATATGGTTTCTCGGTGTTCGTCAGAAAGTCGTCGGACTGTCCGACGAAATTCCGACGAATTAGTTTTTTCCGACGAAATGATACCGACGAACCAGTTCGTCAGAATTTCGTCAAAATATGCCTATTCCGACGACTTTCTGACGATTTTGTCCGTCACTATCCGCCTGTTTTCTTGTAGTGTCGGGGAATAATTTGGAGCACTGTTTTAAATTTTCTTATGAATGTATGAATTATTAAATGATTCCTATGAAGTAAATTAGTTGTTGACGCGGCCTAGTGGAAAATAGCTAAGATTATGTAGGCCAGATAAGGAGTTTGAAGCCTGGGTGGCACATTTTGCTTCTTTTTTTTCATTAATGGCATATCTGTAAACTATTCAACATTTCTTAGGGTTTCAGAGATACTTTTACAGAGCCGCCATAGCTTATTTTTCTGATTTCTTCCAATTTTTTACGTTTTTCTTTTTGGATCTGATTTAAATTGTAAATTTAACATGTATTATCCGATTCCAAGCTTTTAAACTTCAAAAATGTGAATGATATTGGTGACTCCGATTTAATGGCCGCCTATGATGAAATCACGATGCTTCACCACCGCCAAGCGTTTATCCGGCCGATTAATCACCGATGCGGCCGCGTTTTAGAACCGTGATCTCTAATGATAGTTTCTAACACCATCATTAAAAATGATGGTAGATACTGTCAAGGTTGTTAACAATGATGTCATGTCAACGATGATACTATCGTTAAAGATATGTCAAAACGTCATTGGTAATTCTTATGTGAGAAACCATCATCGTCATCAATAATATATTTGAAATTGTTATTATCAACAATGATAAGTATGTTTTAAAAGTAATCTTGTAATTAGAAAGAAAAAAATATTTTGAATTTTCTATTTTTTGAATTTTGTGAATTTTGCTTTAATTGTTTGTTTAATTTTCTGAATTTTCATTTTATTTTCTGTAATTTAATTAATATTCTTTATTTTATTTAATTTCTGTATTTTAATTAATCTTATTTCTGTATTTTAATTTAATATTTTTATTTTATTTCCGTATTTTGATTTAATCTTATTTATTTGATTTAATTTTATGGATATCAATTAACCTAATTTATTTTGAAATTTTATTTAATTTTCTGAATTTTCATTTTAGTTTTCTGATTTTACATATATATATATATATATATATATATTTTAATATAATTTTTACTTATTTTTTAATAAAGAATTATTATTTTCTGAAAAAAAAACTGACACATCATCACATTGACCTATTGTACATGTCAATTTTTTACGTGTAAACAAGTAAGCCAAGTTAAAGGTTTTATATGACACAAATGTCATTTTGAAGGTTTAAAGTGCTAGTCAACAAACTTTAAGGTTTAAAATGTCAGTGCATATCACTTTCAAGGTTTTTATGTGATTTTCCTGATTTTTAATCAATTTTGTAGAGTTAAGTTTACTTCTTTTTTTTAACTCTAGTTAATTATGCATTACAAACTATGAGAAATATTACATATACGATATTACGGTCAAAAATTGTACCTGTCGTAATCAGATTCACGTCTAACTGCATCACATTGAGCCGCCTATGAGATTCATTCCTGACGATACGCCATGCGACATGCTAAAGATCTCTTGTAAACCTTTTCACCAATAATCTGTATAATTCGCCATTTACCTTCTCCGAGAATTAAAATTCTTTTGGTGTAGAAAATGAGTAGCCTAAGATTCGAATCCCATATTTAGCGTAAAAACTTTTAAACCTTAACCACTAGATTACGGTGCTTCCACCAGAGTTACATTTACTTATGAGGCCATTTACAATAGTTGATGTTGAATGTTTTCAACTAGTCAAAAACTATAAGATCGGGTCTAAAATTGCATGTTATTATTGGTGACTGAAATTGCTGACATTTTTATATATTCTAACCTTTTCATATCAATTATTTTATAACAATTAATTAATTTATTTAAGTATTTATATTAAAATCATCATTTCTCATGTTTATAAATAGAGACTTACTTGATTTGATATGGAAATATAGTTTAAATATATTAAGAAATTTGATTTATATATGTTTAACATGTTTTTAAAACATCTTACTTATGTCGTAATATTTAATCAATTATTTTTGAATAATTTTAAATTTCATTATTAATTATTTTATTTGGTTTAAATCTTCTGAGTCATTGATGTCACATATCAAAGAGAGTTATTAGAGACATAAAGACATTTTTTGGAGCAAATAATTAGTTCTCAAAGCGATGAACAGTTCTTGTGAGTCTTGTACAATTTTTAAAAAATTTATTATCAGCTTTGAAATCAGATCACTACATGGTACATGAATAGTAGCATTGATAATGATTGACAGTTCTTGTAGATCTTTTGGAGAACATTCAACTGTTTTTTCATACCACTTCATATGATTCTAAATAAGTGTCATTCAATTATTTTTTTTTTGTTTCAAAAAAATATCATTTTATATTTTTGAAACAACTTTTGACACATAATTTGTTTCTTATAATTTTAACTAACCAAGAGATATTTTTAAAAATCATTTTTATTTAAATATTTTTACATAAAGTGAAGATATATTAGTATATTTTTCATTTTCTTAATCTATAAAAGATATGTCCAAATCACACTTATAATGAAACTGAGGGAATATCAATTAGAAAAAAAAAGTTTTATTTGATTATATTATCAATCATGAATCATAATCATCTTTTATTCAGCATAAAAGTAATATCATAGGAAAATGAAAAGATGAAGATAAATGAGAACATAACTAACTAGAAGTGTGATTAAAGACGAATGAAATTACAAACATGATTCTAGGATTTTGGTGCTGTATTTATTGTTTAAAAATTAATATTCAAGAGGTAAGTTTAATCATAATAGTAGGTTGTACATAATATCATATGCAAATGTATTTTAAACTGAAGCAGAAAGCTTATATGACCATCTATTCTCATATTAGGATGGGTATTTTGCCTCCGAGATGTATTTTCTTCCATAGAAGTAATGTCTTTACTGTTAGAGATCGATAGATTTCGGTTTGGTTTCGGTTTGTTCCAGTTTGATTTCGGTTTAACTCTGGGTACTCGTTTAATATGTTAATCAAATATATATACAAAATATATTAGTTAACATGTTAACTGAATGATCTAGTGTTTGCACGTTACATATTCGTTAATCCAACAAGAGATTGAGTCAATAAAATATTAATTTTATAAGTATTTTCTGTATTTTAATATAGAAATATCATAATTTTAGAGAGTAGATAAAAGATAATGTGATCTGGTGGTAAAAATGTTACCACTCTTCTTACTCAACATGGATTCAAGTGGATGTCATATTACCTTATATTGAAAAAGTTAAAAAAAAAAAATTCGGATATTCAGATACCCGTTAGGTTTTCAGTTTGGTTTCGATTCCGATTTAGTTTTCGGATATAAAAATACATGAACTATTTGAATATTTGAAGATTTCTGTCCAGTTACGGTTTCAGGTTTTTATTTGTACCGGAAAAGTGAATGGCATCAATATGGACAAGGGATGATGCTATGTTTCCTGCTCAAGTTTTGCCAAGAAACTTCAACGCAATGTCTCATCTTTCACATGTGTTCCTTGCAACAATACAAACGCAGTTGGTGTTCTACAGTTTGTAATAACCATCTCTGGTAAATTCATTCGCATCTGCTCCCTGTATTTGATAATTAACACATGTTCTCTGTCTTCTAGATACCAAGTGGAGCTTTCAGTTGCAGATTCAACTGGTGAGGGTCTTGTTAGAAAGTGAAGCTTTGAGATTGAAGAACAAGAGAGAGATGAGAGAAAAGAGTAAAGAAAGATAAACTTTTTCCCTTAGATCTAAAAAATAATGTTACAATGAGTTATAAAAAAAGAGAACATTCATATTCTAGTAACCAAACACACTTGGCTTACTAGAGAAGCTAGAATAAATAACTAATTTATTTATTTAATTCAATACTCCCCCTCAAGCTTTGCCATGCATTGTGGTAAAGCTTGAAACCATGAAAACATCCCTCGTTAAAACCTTTTGTATAGAAAAACCCAATGGGACAAAACCACACAAAGGAAAAAGAGTAGATGCTTCATGGCTTAAAGAGATCATGATCTATCAAGGTCTATGAGTCCTAATCTCGGATGAATGAACTCACAGACTTTACTACTTGCTCCTTTGGTAAAGATATCAGCCAACTGGTCTTCACTTCTAGTGTAGCAAGGTAGGATAATCTTCTGCTCTACGGCTTGTCTCACTTTGTGGCAATCCACTTCAATATGCGTTGTCCTTTCATGAAACACTGAATTTGAAGCAATATGAATGGCTGCCTGGTTATCACAATGCATGGTAATTGGTGTTGATGTTTCTATGCCCAAGTCTCTTAGCAAGTTTCTGATCCAAATGAGCTCACTAGTCAATTTCCTCATTGCTCTATACTCTGCCTCAGCACTTGAACATGATACCACCTTTTGCTTCTTGCTTTTCCATGTAACTAGATTGCCTCNCAATATGAATGGCTGCCTGG